AAAAGACCACCAAAAGGACATGCTTGCAAGGCATATATCCTAACAATAACTAAGAGAAGGCAAGGTCTTTCCTATGGTTGAGTGCTTATTTGTCTCCTACTTTGTGTTCCTGCGGTGGAACATTGCCCCAGCTGTTGTTGTTGTTATGTGCTGTCGAGTCAGACCTGACTCATAGTGACCCCTCCTTGGGTTTCCAAGGCAGTATCACTATGGAAGTAGATTGCCCAACCTTCCTTCTGAGGAGTGCTGGTGGGTTTGAACGACCAGCAGAAACCTATTTTACTGGAAGAATGTTTGACCTAGGATAATGTATCCTAAGACTGTTTCATACCTTAGAATCATGTACCTTAGCAATCATATTATGTTTTAGAATAATACATTTTAGTGATTATTTACTATTTTTGTAAGAAATGTTAACTCAATTAATCATCTCTTGTTTTGGGGCTTGGGAAAAAATCTCTGGGTATGAGAAAGTGTAAAGTTTTAAGTTTGTAGAGAATACTTGATTGTTTTAAGCAGATTCTTTGATTATATTAAGCAGATTCCAGGAATAATGATGTAATTATGTATGAATGTATATATAAAGCAAAACATGGACATCAGGAGTTGCTCTCACATCATACACAGAGTGTCCGCCTGCCCCCATTCCTTTTAAACCTTTAATCCTTTTGGGTAGCTTTGTTTCATAAACTGCTTTGTTTTGCCAGATGTGGCAAAAAATATATATATATGCATGCATTTGTATGTATGTATATGTATAAGTGTATATGTATATGTATATGTATGTATGAGTGCATACCTACACACATATAAGTATACACACACACACACATACTCATATATGTATACATACACATTTATACATGTGTATATATACATATATATATGTGCATACATATATATATGCATATACATTTACACACATATAAATATACATGGAGCTCTGGTAGCATAGTGGCTAAGACACTTGCCTGCTAACCAGATGGCTGGCGGTTCAAACCCACCAGCCACTCCTC